TCTTTCATTCTATTTTTTTAGACAAAGGCTTATTCTGTCGCCAGGCTAGAGCGCAGTGGTGTCACCACAGTTCACGGCAACCTCCAGCTCAAGTGATGCTCCTGCTTCAGCTTCCTGAGTAGCCAGGACTACAGGCATGCACCACTATGCCCAGCTAATTTTTCTATTTTTTGTAGACATGGAGTCTCACTCTTGCTCAGGTTGGTTTTGAGTTCCTCAGCTCAAGGGATCCTCCATACTCCCAAAGTGCTAGGGTTACAGGCATGAGCTACCATGTCTGGCTCTGCAATATTCTTGATCACTCGTCTTCAAATATTTTTGCCCTCCCACTTACATTTTTTCTCTACTGGGACTCCTTTTAATTGGTTGACATAACTTCTACTTCTGTTTTCTCAGTGTTCTAATTTTTCTCATCTTGCAACTTCTTTACCCATTTTTGATGCATTCTGGAAGAATTTCTCCCCCAGTCTTCCTCTCACTATAATAATTCAATCTTCAGATCAGTTCTCTCTGCTATTCAACCCATTGACTGAGTTCTTTATTTCAACAATTAAATTTTTCTTGAAGTCTTCTAAATATATTGGCATTTGTAAGCTGGAAAAGACAGATGTAATCAACCACCCTCAGACAAAAGTGGGATGACTATTCTGGCAAAATGTTCAAGCCACATTAAGCTCTGATTTGGAATGATGTTTGAAAGAAAGTAATGCAACTAGGACCATTTGAGCAGCAACTAAAAACTGAACTCACTAGACATATTTAAGAAATGGAAACGATTCAATGTGTTTGTTTTCTAAACAGGCCAAGTATATTAGAAACTTCGAAATTTTACCTTTTTACTAAACTCTATTGTTTTACATGCTGTGAAATACTTAAATCATTTTCTGTAATGGCCCTTTGAGTTCATTCCAATGAAACATTCCATTTTTAAGGGTGAATAAATCATCTGTTTAATTTCACGTTAAAAAAAACCAACTAAACTTTCGTTTTGACTCTGGGTCTTCTTCACAACCACATGTTTCTATAATAGTATTCTCTCTTATCTTAGTAAGAATACTTATTATACTTATTCTAAACTTTTGTTCTATCTGTTGCTTTAATTCTGTTTCCCATGATGCACGTTGGTTGCCTTTCATTCCCAGGACTTCTGCTCCTCAGATTTCTCCTAATTCTTTCTTTTGGGATCATATTTTATTTTCTCTGATTGACCAGTAGCCTTGGCCTTTACGTTCCTATGGGGAGAGGAGTGGAAGCTTAGCTGTAGCTCATGGTCCTCCTTGTAAGTTTGAGGGGAGAGGAGAAGCTTTTCAGGGTGGAAAGCCCCAGGCCAGAGACCCTGTAGTGATGCAACCTGGGCTCTCCCTGTCCCCAGGTGCCCCCTCAGGCATATGTGGGCCTCTGGAACCCACCAGTGCGTCTATGGCAGGCGCTACTTTTCAGGTGAGAGTAGAGCTGTTATTCTTATTTGTAACTGCCAAGGCCATGGAGTAGGTGGCAGGAGAAAATGCTGGAGGCTCAGGTAGCTCACAGGCACTCCAGCTCCCCTCCCTAGTTAAATTCCAGGGCTTCCTTGACGTTGCTCTGCCCTGCTCTCTGGACCTTCCTGTCCCATTGTAGAGATGCCTAGGAATGATCACACCAGGGCAACATGAGCGAGAAAGAAGGGCACAGTTCCTCCCCCCTTCATCACTATTCACCATTTGTGGGGGCTCAACCATCCATGTCCTGTCTCTCCTGCAGCATCTTCAGGGACAAGTTCAGTGGTGAGAGCCTATAGACTACGTACTGGCCATGTTGTCAGGAACTTGCATTCCCAGCAGCGTTTCCTTTGTGTTCATTTGCCTTGGTATTTGACGTACTGGTTACGATATGGGATTTTTTTTTTTAAATGAATTTATTCATTCAGTAAATATTTATTGAGCACTACGGTTTGCAAGACCCTTTGCCAGGTGTTGGGATAAAATAGCCAAAGAGCCTTTCTAACCATTGCTTTCTCTGGCATTAGCTAAGCAAATCAACCTGCCATTGCCCCAGGTTCTCCAACCTCTGAGTCACCACACTTGCCAGGAACCAGCCTGGCGTTTCCTCCCCCATGATGTTTGCCAGGGCATGTTCTTACCTTCAAAAGTCTGCTAACAACTCACCTTCTCCCTGTCACCTTTCAAAATTAATCCTTTGGCCTCAATCATTCAACTTCTCATCTCCATTTTCACTGAGAGCTTCTGTATGGAGTTATGACGTTCATCAGGCATTGAGAAAAAGTGCCTACCTAAGAGACAGGTGGCCTGGATTTCTGTCTACCGCGGCCACTAATCGGACGCATATTCTTGGCTAAGTTACTTCACTTCTTGGAGCCTCAGCCTCTGCCATTGTGTGAATCTCTGTTTATAACTGTACTGGGTTCTGACTTTTTCTGTAGTTTCAAGAGTTCTTGAGCAAAAGGTCTAGGTCTTTGAAATATTCAGTACATTATGCTTGTTGCCTGGTGGGTTTAGCGCACATTCAATTTAATCATAAACCAATGACATCATTCTTACGCCTTTTTTTAGATGGCTTATGGTATTTTGCTATTTCAAACAATTTTTCAGCAAACACCTTCATATTTACATTTTTAAGTACTTATCCTATTATATGCTGAGGATACTTTTTTAAGGGTAAAATTTCTTGATCAAAAAGTATATTCACATTTAAAATTTGTTGCATATTGCCAAATTGCTCTCCAGAAAGCTGTACCAATTTATACACCCACTAGCAGTGTACAAGCCACATCCTTACCAACTCAGGATATGCTAATTCTACTTACTCTTTTTTGGTATGATTTGGTTTTTCATGTTTTCTAAAAATTTGCATCCTACTGATTGATAGGCTATGCATATTTTTCTATTTTTATCCCTCCTTTTATGCATCTTTTTTGAGTTGCCTGTTCATATACTTGAAAAAGTTATATGGATAGAGACATAAATATATATATCTATAATATCAACCCTATTTCTGCTAAAATATATATTTTTCTTAAATTGCTATTTGAATTTTTTTTTTTTTTTTTTTGAGACAGAGTCTGGCTTTGTTGCCCGGGCTAGAGTGAGTGCCGTGGTGTCAGCCTAGCTCACAGCAACCTCAAACTCCTGGGCTCAAGCAATCCTTCTGCCTCAGCCTCCCGAGTAACTGGTACTACAGGCATGCGCCACCATGCCCGGCTAATTTTTTTTATATATATATTTTTTTAGTTGTTCAGATCATTTCTTTCTATTTTTTAGTAGAGACGGGGTCTCACTCTTGCTCAGGCTGGTCTCGAACTCCTGACCTTGGCCGATCCACCCACCTCGGCCTCCCAGAGTGCTAGGATTACAGGTGTGAGCCACCACGCCCGGCCTGCTATTTGAATTTTAAAGCTTTATGTATGATGTATTTAAAAAGTTTATTTTACTATGCCTAAAGTTGAAGTGTTTTTTTCCTATAGCTAATCTAATTTTTCTTCAAGGTTCCTGCCTTAGGAGCCTTCCCCACGTGGTGACCACTTGCCTATCAAACACCTTGTTCTCATCTCCTTTAGCAAGGGCGTATTGCTGCCTGAAATATATTTCTGAGCCTCATTTGCAGCTGGGTGTGACCAGGGGATCAGTGGGCCAATGAGTACAAGTGCTGTTGTGCTACCGGGGGCAAAGCTCCTCAAGAGAGAGGGCTGAGATTTTCTTCCTTCCTTCTTTTCGCTGCCTAGAAGGAAACAGCTAGAGCTCCAGCAGCCATCTGGGGCCATTTCCATCTTGAACATGAGAGCCAGGCTTGGTGATGTCAAGCTAATGATGTCATGAAGCTGTTGCACCAGGCCTATGCAGTCTACCCCTGACCTTCTTTCATGTGAGAGAATAAATAAGCTGCTGTAGTTAGGCCTTTGGTTAGAGCAAACCTAACTCCTAAGAGCAATTCCTAGCTCCTAAGGGCAATTTCTAACTCAAACACCAATCCAAGGTTATATCAATGTTTATCTGTATTTTCTTCTAAGTGTTTTATCTATTAATTATCTCTATGTTAATGACTGAAAAGATATATAACCAAGATTTAACAGTGTACATAAATAGCAATGTTTTGATAGAGACTTTTTCAAAATGATGATTGCTAGACCCATATGTAGATAAAATTGTTACCCTGAATTTTAAGGAAGGGTCTAATTATACAGTTTTATTCTATTAGGCATTTTTAAAATGTTAGGCCAATGATATTGACATGGAATTCTTTAATAATACAGATCTTGAGAAATAGCATTGATGTCCATTTTCTTCACTAATCATGAACTTTTATTTTGAAAAGTTAATTTTCAGAGGATATGACTATAAAATATGAGACTTTACATCTAGATGGGAGTTTTCTGATGAAGGTAATTGGATACATATCTAAATTTATATAATAAATCGTTGTAGTATAGCCATGGTTTAATTACAGAGTTTCAGTTTAATATTACTGGTTTTAAAAATTTATTTATTTAGAGATGAGGTCTCGCTATGTTGCCTAGGCTGGCCTCGAACTCCTGGGCTCAAGTGATCATCCTTCCTCGCTCGGCCTCCTGAGTGGCTGGGACTATGGACAAACCACTGTACCTGCTTTGGTTTTAAAGTATGTTTTGACTGTAGGTGTAAAAATGTTTTTTGTAGAAATTAACAACACATATTATTCTTGCTTCTGTAAAAATTAGCCAGATATTAGTGTGCAATTTAATGTAACTAATATTTCCTTACCTGTTATGTATTCAATTTCACAATGAACTGCAAAGCAGGCAACATAATTCCTGTTTTATAGGGGAGGAAATTGAAACTCAGAGGCGTTAATTCACTTGTCTAAGGCCACTTATAGGTTGATTGGAAAAGGCAGACTCTGAAAGCCATTGATTGCAAAGTCTAAACTCCTGGCTACTCATTTTAGTCCCTGGGCTGGGCCAGTAGGAGATAAGAGTTGGGTAAGACACAGGTTCCCACAGGCAACGTTAAACAAAAGTTGGTACTTACCTGCCTCACACAGGTTTGTTATGTTAATACGAGTGGGTGGGGAACTGCCTTTTGAATTTGCTGCAGACACAGCCACAGCCCAGTTCCCAGTTCTAGGAGCGACCCAGGTCCAGGAAGTGTGCCCTGTGATGTTCCGGAATGGGGCTTTCCCCACTGTCACCTCCTGCAAGGTCACCCGATAGTGGAGGATTTTTCCTCTTGCCTCTGAGACACTCAGATTCTGCAACAAAACACATTCAATTGCTCTTTACTCTTAGACAAGATCACTGGTTGCTCTGTGCCTGGCCCTCACGGCCCCCTACTACAGGCAGCTACATCTGAGTGACCATTTTATTCACATCTTCTTTCCCCCACAACACACTTTTACACAACACCCACTCTACGGCCCCCCCTGCCATTTAGGGGGAAAAAAATATCAGCTAACATTTTTAAAAGATATTTCTTAAAAACACAATGATTTTTCTTTTTTGTTGCAAAATGAAACTTACTAATAACAGTAGACAACTTGATCACATCCTATGGAACAAGCATAGAATCTGAACTCAGAAGATGTGAATCTCAGTTCCAGCTCTACCGATTCCACAGACCCAGATCAAGGCACTCAGGCCCTCTGAGTGTCCATTTCTAAATTTGTGAAACACGCACATACACACATGTAACTTTTTTGATAGAAAGTGCAATGCTGCTCACGACATTAAACAGAGGATTTTCAAGAGTTAAACTAGTAAAATGTTCACTTAGTGAACTGAATTAGCCATCTGTGCTAGGAAACTAAGACACTGTTCATAAATGTGTGACTAACAACTTTTGGAACTGCAAAAATTCCAATTGAGATCATTTGGGAGCAATCCCAGAAAGTAAGCAGAGAACTAATTATTTGTATTGTAACCCTGTTTGGACCAGGGCCATGGGAAACAGAAACAGAAAATGGAGAGTTGTCAAGTGTAGCATTGGCAGTGCCCATCCATGCCTAGCGCGGGGAGAAGACGGCATGGCTCACCAGATGTAAGCGTTACAGTTTTCTTGGCAGGGCTACCCCTTCCATGGGCAGGGGGCCTCCAGCTGCCTTTGCTGAAAGACACACCTTAGCAAATGCCCCTTGCCCTGGTTCCCTGCTCACCAAGTAATCTTCTAATATGATAATTTGGTTTCCTACGAAGTGTATCTGTCAGGAAAGGCTGGGGCTAACATGAACATCTGGTTTATTTATAATTTGTATTTTTCACTTTAAGTGAATAAATTGGCTTTCTGATTACAATTTGGCTTCTGAAACAATTAGCATACTGGGAGAGAATGTTCCAATCTGCTGACTCAAGCCTTCTGGTTGGCCCAACAGCTGCATTTCATGCTGTTAATTAATCCACCAGCATCCAGCTTTTTGTATTTCAGTTTCTTGAAGCTTGATTAACGCAGGTCCATTCTGGGGACCCTTCTGGATCCACGAGGTCCAAGAGTGGATCTTCAACCACGGTCAGTGCAGCAGGTGAATGTCATGTTGCTGGGGGCCCTTGTGGGTGAACATTCAGCCTTCCCCTAAAGTTAGCATTTCTGATGTCTGTCATAGCTGATCTCATAGGCCTGTTTTATGAATTAGAACAAGCACGTGCTTTTTAAAGTGTGATGTCCTAAATTATTATTAATAAACATGCACTTTGTCAAGAAGAAAAACAGGATAAATTAAAGCAAAAGCTGGCTAGGGAAGATCATGCACTCAGCCATCTGTCACTCCGTCCTTCCCTGTCTCCTTTGTAGGTGCAGAAGTAGGACTGTTACCCCTACTCCCACCCATGTTCCCCCACCCTAAGGCAGTCCTTAAGAGTTAACTGAGCTCACAAAGCTCCCCATTCTTGCCAGGGACCCAAGAGGCTTCAGTTCCAGTCTAACAACTAAGGAAACAGAGCCCTAATTGGAAAAAAAACCCCAAAACATCTTGTGGACCAGCCTTTATTACTTCCCTCTTACTGTCCTTCACAGACATCCCAGAAATCTCATCAATCGAACAGTAAAGCGCTGAAAGGAGGGGAGAAATGTCGCCTTGGATCCTGTGAAGCTGCATGGTGACTGCTGTGAAAATCTAGCTGATCACAGCAATCTAGTACACGGAGGTGTGGAGCTGAAGGGTTGCGAAGATTCTCAGAGGGGAGTGAAGGACCTGGACTCCGACCCTCGCACCATCCCCTCCAGATCTCAGATTTTAGAGTCGAAAGTGTCAGCGAAAAGGGGGGAGTGGGACGGAATTAGTTGGACAAGTAAATATGGTATCCTGTGGGTTATGCTAACCTGAAATGTCAAGCTCAAGTTTTGGGATAAAGGTTATCCTTTCTTAGGTAATTAGTCTCCCACTCAAACAGGAAAATGAGCCTATCTGGAACAAAAATTTCAATGAGCCAATAGGAAAACAGGTATTAGGTATTTAGCCAGCTGGGCACTTAGTCTCCTGAAGCAACTGAAACCAGTATAGTTTGCTCTGAAATGAAAAAGCAACATAAAGTTTGCAAATAGTGTGTGATCCATCACTCCTGGATTACGCCTGGCCCTGATGAAACGGAGCATCGTTATGGAACCACTGAACTGGAAGGGACTCCACATATTAACAATTAATTCAACGTTTTATTTTCTGAACGGGGGCCGAGGGACGTGAAGTGACTTGCTCAAGGCCACTCAAGGGGTAGATGAAGAAGGTAGGAGTAGAACCCAGAGCTCTGGACTTCTAGACCAGTGCCCCCTCTGTCATGACGTGCCACTCCTTACGTTGGCGAGCCTGAGACAATGAGCCGTAGGTGTGGGCCGCCCTGCTTCGCAGCTGGAATCCCCCATCACCTTTCTAGCTAAAAGTTGCAAAGCAACTTCTCTAATTGCAAGGTCATTCTGAACATGCAGATCAACGGCGGGCATGCGTGCAGCAGTCTGCGGAGGGCGGGGACGCAGAATTCTTCTATTCAGAGCTAGTGGGCTCTGAGTCACAAGCCCTCAACCCAGAAGGACTGCAGACCTGAGAGCCCGCGGACTCTCCGCGGAGAAGCTTATTTATTCTCTCTGCTGCTTGCTGGGGTGAGAGATACAGCAGAAACTGCCATTTACTGGGCCATACCAGGAGCCAGGAGCTTTACAGCTACTGTCACATTGAGCCTTTGCAACTCCCCTGTTGCGGTGAGGATGCTGAAGCTGGGAGAAGTCAGGGAACGTCTCAAGCAGGCCTCACGGAAAAGGAACGAGAGATTTTAGAGCGCCCTCTGGTGGATGTGAGGGAGGAACGTGCTATCCGCAAAGAGTTGTCTGGCAGCCCCGGAGCGTGGCCAAGACCTGGAACCTCTTCCCTGGCAGTGCAGAGAATGGGACTCAGGCCAATGTTCCTACTGTCACTGTCACCCTCTCCTATTGGTGAGAGTATGCTAAAAAGGAAAAGCTGCCCTATTTCCTCTCTCCTTCAGCTTTCTCTCTGCTCTGTCTTGTGGGAAATGATTTAAACAGTATGGAAAGCCTATGTGTCTCAGGTTTGCCTGAGAAGTGAAGAGTGAGGAGCTCCCCCCATAAACCTACTGTATGAGTTCTGCTGCCTGCAAAAGCTTTCAGCGTCAAAAATAACTTGGTGAATGTAATTCGTGATAGGACAAAACCTGACACATTTCAGAATGCAACGTATTCTGTTTTTATTTTTTAATTAAAGATCTATTGGAGAAAGGGTGTCTCTGTGAACTGATAAATCATTTCTTCTTGAGACTTAAAAAATGCTACTGTACTTGTCATGAAATAATGCATTACTTCTGAGCTTCCCCTGATGCAAATAATAATAAAAAACCTGTTAAAGCATAGCTTTTCTTTCTTTTGATTTTGACTTCAGAATACTGCCGACTTTGGTTCTTCTTATTAGGGCAGATCCTTTGCTGTCTTGCTCCAGCACATAGCAGCTGTGTGAGTGTGGGCAAGTTATTTTACCTCTCTGAGCCTTGATTTCCCTGCCCATAAAACGAGGGTGATTCCATGTACAGTGTAGGCTTATTGGAGCAGTCAAGGAGTTAAGGGAGGTAAACTGTCTTAAAGTATGCTGGGCAAAGGGCAGATGTTAAGTCTCTCGGCGAGTTCCCTGCTCTCAGTTACTCTAAGTAATATAAAAATCAGCAGGACTGGCACTGTTGCTATCACATTCGCAGCACCCTCTACCAGCATATGGAGAGTCAGGCCATCTTGACTCTTGCCTTTCACTATAGCTCTGTATGTAAGGCTTACCAACGCCACGCAGTGGATTACAAAGTACACGGAATCTGAGTTTGACCTTGGGCACCTTAATTTCAGAACTCATGACTGCCTTCAGCAACCCCAGTCCAAAGAGAAGTAACTCAAAAGACAATCCTCACAGGGAAATTTAAAAATCATTCTATTGATTTTATCTATGTAAGAATCTACCTTCCCATTAGCCCATAATCTTTGCACCCTCGGTCTCATATGCCAATGTTTGCCTCTGAACGACAACTTATCAATTACTTTTCAGAACGATCTCATTAATCTTCACAGCAACCTCATGTGGTATATGCCATTATTATCTGCACTTTACTCATGAGGAAAGTAAGGCACAGAGAGGTTAAGCACCTTGCTCAAGAACACACAGCCAATAAGTAGTGCAGCTGGAACTTGAACCCAGGTAGCAAAGCTCTATCTAAAAGTTGAACTCTTAGCTGCTGCACCATGCTCGTACTTAGGAGATACTCCCCAAGTGTTCTGCTACACTGAACTGATTTAATTGACAGTCAGACCTCATGGTAGTTACTCTGGCATAACGATTTCTATCTTGTTTTGCAGCTAGAAAAACAAGGAAAACTTTTGTGAGAGCAAAACTTGAACTCCTGTCTCATCTCTGATTTCTATCTTCTGTTAATTCTCTGCTACCTCCTCTCCTATTTTTTGCACTGGCCACATTCTGCTATTTAACCCAAATTCCCTACATTTCAGCTGGCATAACGTGTGTGACTAGTAAGCAAGGGAAAGCAGCCTTCTCTTTCCAAAAATATCATCAGAAATGCTATGCCAGCCTGTGCCGGGACAAGGATCGAGAGGGGAAGGAGATAGAGTTGAACATTGCAACAAAACAATCAAAATTGTACCAACTGCATCTTTTGTATTTAAATACTGATTCTGAGATTGTATACCTCCTACAATTTTATAAGGGCCCCAACACTTCCTGGCAGCCAACTCTCCCTAGAGATTTACAATAGACCTTTGTCCTAATCAATATAAATCAGGTTCCAAATAATACTTTCCACTCTTACCAAGCCCTTTTCGGATGAGGAAGTCAAAGAATTCATCCCTTCAGTGCAATGTGATATACATTGGAATGTTCTTCATACGACAGAGAAATACAAGGAGAAAGACACAAAGTAAGTGTATTGGATAAGCTGTCCCCGTCGCAACAGTCTCTCTGAGGCTGTGCTGTCAATGGGTGTACGGGGCTTGCTGTCTTCTCTTCCTTTGGTTTGAGAGTAGCTGTTCGTTAAAATGAATCACCTCATATAACAAATGAATAAAAAGCACCAAATCTTTTCCCCACTTTTGGAACCAAGAGTTTTCTGAACTTTCTCTGTATTGCTTTCAAAACACTGGAGCTGTGCTGTCTGATATGGGAGAGAGTCCCGAGCTGCAGGAAGCCACGGAGCCCTTGAAATGAGTGGGCTGGTCCGCACGGTCTGGAGGGTGAACTCTTTCCCACTGTACTGTACTTAGCAGACACACCAGTTTTTGAAGGCTTAAAGCAAAAAAAGGATGTAAAAGAGCTCAATAATTTTAAATATTGATTCCATGTGGAAATGATAATATTCTGGATATACTGAGTTAAAATATATTATTAAAATTAATTCCACCTGTTTCTTTTTATGCTTTAAAATATGGCTCACATTTGTGGCTTGCTTTATATTGCTATGGGACAGTGCTTCACTAAAGTGATGCTTTCCACACCGAATCCATGGTCCCCAGAGGGTCTCCTGCCAAAAGTTCTCCCCGCCTTGTCCTGGCTAACCCGCTCTTCCGAAGTCAGCTCTACCTCTCCGACAGCTCACCACTGCCCTGCTCTGCTGAGCGAGTCCGACCATCATCCCTCTGCCGAACCTTGAACTCCTCCTCTACACCTGGAGTGTCCTCTTCATCTGGCTCCTATTCCTGTCCTCACACTGGACTGTGAGCTCCAGGACACGCAGACTGGATTTGTCTTGTTCACTTCCACACCCTGGCCATGCGGCACAGTGTCTAATACTAAAGAGGAACTTCATTTGTTTGTTTGGATGGATGAATGAGTGAATGAGTGAGTGAACTGAGCTTCATTTGCATGCAGGCATTTCTCTTCCAGACTCAGGGCCTCAAACAAATTTCAGAAAGTTTGTGATTTGGTACGGTCAAGACAGTCCGAGGACTCGAAAGAAATTAAGGGAGAACACTAGAAAGGCTAATGTGGCTTTGACCTGGTTGCCGTATCTTTTTCATACATTATCCGTATATAGTTTCAAGCTGATTTTCTTCTTAAAAGATACGTGCTGTATTAACTGGAAGAGAAGGGTACTGGAATCAAGGACTGAAACGCTCACTCAAAGCAAACAATGCGAAACTTTGCACAGAAGATAAGACAGGCAATTTGAGGGATTGCTAAAAGCCCCCCGTAAAGGGGTCTAACACAACGCTGGGGCTGTTTGTGACCGAGCAACATTTTCTACTTGTTATTGCGTTTGTTGTTTTAACAATACTCAGGCGTTTTTGTTTCATTTTATAGATTAGGTTGTACTTTTTGGCTTCAACATTGAAAGTATTTTTCCTTTTAAAAATAGCTATGATTTAAAAAAAAAGTACAGGATATTTTTGAGGAAATGGAGCTTTCAGGAGAAACAAAGGCCTGGGAAAATGAGTAGCTGTGTGGAAACCACGGCAACAAAGCAAAGGTCGCCTTCACTTTCAACACGCTTACACACTCACATGTGCTCACATTCACACACACTCACACCTTCCACACATACATACACCCTCATGCTCATCCACATACTCACACCCTTACACACACACACACTCTCACAATCACACCCCCACTTCACACACATACTCATATATACACCCACACTCACACCCCTAATACACATGCAGAACTCACCTGCATTCACACATGTACCCACACGTAGCCTTCACACTCACACACGCACAACACACACCCACATACAGGACACTCACACGTACTGACACGCACGCCCGTGCACAGCCACGCTCACACACGTAGGGGGCACCCAGTCAGCACCGAGTCATTCTCCTCTAACGTGAACATCCTGCAAAAGTGAAAGGTCATTTCGCATTTCCCCAGATGCAGGAGAAACGTGCTGTCACTTTGTTCACAGGCTGATGGGGTTTTACTCGGGGCTTCCTTTGGTGTCAAGACCTGAAACTCCCCTCCTTGTAGTGGGGGGTGAGGTGTCTTGCATTTGGGTTTCCCAGAGTGGCTCAAAGGTGAAAGCCCCTCCACGGGCAAGTCTTTGCTCCCGTTCCCCAGTGAGGCATGGCTTGGGCCCCTCACAAGGCACCTGATCTGGCTGCAGGGTTTTCTTTCTAGCCTGACACTGACATGGGTCCCTGGTGCCCCGGCACCGCCTTCAGTTCCCGAGCCTGCCTGAGAGAGGCACGAGGAACCCCCATCAGAGGCTGGGACAGGAGAGGGGCCCTATCACCTGAAATCCCTTGGCTGGAAATCACCTCTTGAAACCTCAGTTTCCGTGTTTGTAAAACGAGGGAGGTGAGGGGGGAGGACTGCATGCTAGTTAAATTCCTTTGGCTCTAGAGGTCTGGGATTTTGTGGTTCTGGGTCCAAAGCAGGACTGCTCATCTCAGTAACTTTGGTCAGTATTTTTAGTCCCTACCCCCTGGTGAGTCGTCTGTTTGGGGCCACTGAAGAAGCCCAGGATTTGACAGAAAAGGACTTAATGTTATAACGGCCCTGTAAAACTTAGGACTGCATCCAACTTTCCCTGGAGAGCCCCTTAGGGCTAGAGAATTCCTGAAGGTTTGAGGTAGTGTGATGACCACCATCTGCATCAAGTTGTAGAATCTTCTAGTATTTATCTTTTTGGTTTCTTATATAAGCCAGTTCCAGTCCAAAGCCAGTTTCTTGGGCCCACAGTTCTGGATACACAAAAGGAAAGATTTTCTAATGATAAGAGATGTTCAACCATGGCATGGGCAGACTACAAAGTGCGCTTCTCTTTGTTCTACAAGGTACTCACAGAGACATCTGTCTGTCCTGGCAGGAGGAGGAGCCATGTCCACAAGGAGAGGCAAGGTGGACTGGAAGAGCACTGAGGTCCCCCCAAATCCCAAGACCTCATCTTAGAATCTAAGCTTTGTGAAGACAGGAATACAATCAAAATGGGCAGTAGAGAAGAATGTGCATGTGTACATTTGCTCTGGCTAACAAATATCTTTTTTGACTTCATTCTGACACTGATTTCAGGGGACCATGATGACGCTCAGTATAAACTCTCTTTGTTACAATGAGAAGCACACAGGCACGGCACTGGGCATGTTGCTTTCACCGTTCAGATAAAAATTCATGATGTAGTACCATTTAATTTTACCTTGGAGGTCCTTGTGATCTTTTTACGTTTGTGTCCTGATTTACTGACCCCTGCAATGGAGTGTATTTACTTTCATTATACCAAGAGAGACCCTCGAGTGGAAAGGAATGAAGTAGGTTAATACAGCATAACCTTCCAGATCATTGTTGAGGACATTTTTGGAGAAATCTTTCTGTGGGAGGAGGAATTTTGGTTTTAACCAAAATTTGGTTTTTACGTGTGAAAATGAAATATTTGAGCTCGATCCTTCCGTAATGTTCACAAATTATGGCTGCTCTGCATGTCCTGCTTTGAGAATCGTCTTGCTATTAAAAGTGGTTTTATTTTAAAATAAATTTGGAGCTGCAGTGTTAGTTTCAAAATGAGCTTGATCATGATTCACCAAGCTATTTATAGTCATCTCCTCTTATACCAGACATTTTGTAGGGGCAGGGAAAAGAGAGTGAAAGAGCCCATTTCTATAAACTTGTGAGCACACCCATCGGTAGCTCAACTCAAATGGTACAGAATTTTCTTTCAGCAAAGATGTGTCATGATGTAGCAGGAAGAGTTCTGGATGAGGTTCCAGTCCCAGGTCTGCACTTGGTAGCTGGGTGACTTTGGGTGACTTTGGGCAAGAACTTTCTCTCTCTGAGGCTCGGTCTTTTCATTTGTTAGGTGGGGATACTAGTAGCTGCCTCACCGGGGCTTTGTGAGCAGTAAATGAAGGCAATGCCCACCTGCAGGACTTTGTGAGACTTCCACATTCTATAATAATGTTAGGACTCACTGTTTTCGGGAAGGTCGTTCAATTTACTATTGTTTTACTATCATTTCTGAGGAAGGGCTGCTTTCTGTTTCTATTTGTGTCATTTTTCTACCGCTATTAGTATTCCTAAGGTAGGACAGCTTTCTTTCCACCCTCTCTCTTTTCAATGACTTAAACATGTATATTCTTAAACATCCATGTCCATAGCTTTCTCATCTTTGACCTCCCAGAGAGTGAGTGCGTAAGGGGGCATGGTTACTGCTGGGCACATTTATGCAGGAGAGAGAGGGGCTGGATAGAGAGGGGACCAGAGTTGGGAGAGACAGTGTAGTGGGTCAGAGTGTGGAAGTGCAGGGGATGGGAAGGGACCCTGAACCGACAGGAATTGGGATGAAGAAAGGATGAAATGGTGTAAAGGAAGGAACTCTGCTGGAGCTCTCACCCTCACCTGCCAAAGGTAAGCGACACTGCATCCTGTGTCAGGAATATGTCAGAGAAAATGAGCTCCAATAAAGTCACTGAAGCCTCATCTCCAAGCCACTAAGCAAACAGGTCTTTTTCTGCCTTAAGACTAATTATTCAAATATTTAATTCCCTTGAGTTTTAAGTTGACACTTAAAACTTACCTTCCAGAAAAGAGAAATCTGTTGTCTGTTGTAGTCAATGTGCCGTTTCATGTACCAGACATCTAACATCCCAGTAGGCTCTGTGTTGAAGGGGGGAAAAATCATATTTTCATGCATATGTACACAATGCAAAGTCTTTAAGTCAATTGGTCATTCAGTAAATAAGAGTAAGTTTAGAGGATGATTTCAATTTTTTTATATACCAGTACTTTTCTCTTTGTTTAATAATGAACATGTATATCTTTGGCCAAAAAGTCATAAAGAATAGGGCTAACTTTAAAATCAATTTTGAAAAAATGATGAGGATTTGGGAGGCTGAGGTAGGAGGATCACTTGAGGCTAGGAGTTCAAGACCAACCTGAGCAACATAATGAGACCCCCATCTCTATAAAAAATAGAAAAATCAGCCAGGCATGCATCTGTAGTCCCAGCTACTTGGGAAGCTGAGGCAGGATCTCTTGAACCTAGGAGTTTGAGGTTTCAGTGAGCTATGATGATGCCACTGCACTCTAGCCAGGGTGACAGAACAAGACCCTGTCTCAAAAAAACAAAAACAAAATAAAAAAAACCCCAAACCAACCAAGCAAACAAAAATGATGGGGAAACTTATTTTTTAACTTACTCTTAAACCATGTAATAATAAAATAAGTATGTGTGGTTATTTCTTTTTTTAATTGGAATGCAGAAAGAATTCTCAATGGAAAAGTAAAGACATAACTCATAAGGAAAAACATTTTTGGTCATGAAAAAATACACAAATACAAATGTCAAACCTCGTGTTCATCTCCATTCCTAAATTTATCCTGTTGTAGTATAATTATTTGGTTTTTCATCATTAGACAACGATCTACTTGAAAGGGAGGCCTTTCATTTATCTTAATATTCTGCATACCTAGTACAGCACTTAAAATGTAATAGGCTTCTAATAATTGTTAAATGATGAATAAACAAATGAACAAATCAGGTGATATCTATTTAATGCCAAAACACAGGCTGAACTGATAGAAGCAATAACTACCAATTTATAAGCCAATGGTCAAATATGGTCTAATTTGATTTGAGAAAATCAACCAAACATCCTCGAAAAGGGACCGAATAATCAACGCCTGTGAGTATGTGAGAGTGAGTGTGTGTGTGCACGTGTGCGTGAGTGGGTGAGGTAGTGTTACTTCCCCTACCGTCAAGTCACTTAGATCCGTTTTGACTTACAGCCAGGAGTGGAATCAATAGAACAGCTTCTGAAAACAGGTGTCAGTAGCACCAACCTAACTTCCTTAACAGTGAAACTTAGGGTGGATTTGATGTAAGGCTGCACCAAGGTCTCTCCTGAAGCAGAAAGTTCCATTTAACTAGATAGAAGTATCTGGAAAATGAAGTCCCACCACTTGGATAATAGGGGAAGAGTAAAAGGGCAAGGAGGGGAGCACATATACCAGCATGTAGGGTGGGGCCCGTGTGGGTCCATTCCCATCGTCCAGTGACACAGCTTTAGAGAGCAAAGTGCCAGCTCCAGAGCCATCTATGGGCCAAACCCGCTCCGTGGTCTTGAACAAACAAAAACCCTGTCCTGCGGCCAGCTTCTCCATCGGTTGAATGAGGATAAAGATGCCGTACATCACCTGGAGCCATAGTGGGAATTCAGACAGAGGGTGCTGACACAGTAAGTGTTCAGCAAACGTAGCTCTTGCTATTTTCTTCCATTGAAACCTGAAGCGCTGAGAGGTTAAGGAACTTGTTTGAGGTCCCAGAATTCATATTTAGAG